AGATAGATAGATAGATTAGGGAAGCACCTTAGATGTGATAATTTATGCATGTAACTTGGATCATGAGAGTACATATTATGTACAAAATGTGTCTGAGACTGTTTGAGTGGACGTATTAAAACGTACACACATACAAAATACTGTGTTTGCTTTTGTGAAAGAGGTCATGCTTACGCGTCGACGAGTTGAAATTCTGAGTCTTTTACGATCGTCTAGTTGAACCAGATTTAATAATAATAATAAAAGTGAAGATCATTTTTATAGTGCCCACTCTCCTTACATGAATCAAGAAAGTTGTCCTTTCCTTTCCTATTTACGTTTGTTTCCTTTCTTTGAGTCACGAGTCAAAAAGCGTCACAGTGTGACTGACACCGGCCACTGCCACCAAAGATTCCCTTTCGGCACTTATATGACCTTATTGTGTTGCAAGTGCCGTAAAACTCTTACTAAAAACGAAAAAGGTTTCCTAAATAATAGTGCTCTCTTTGCATAAACTAAATTCGCTTTCAAAGCATAAAGATCTATTTTTAGTAAGCGTACCACGCGGGCTTCTTTTAACACTCCAGTTATCAATAACAGTTCGTCAATAATGCAGTAACGAGAGAGAGAGAGAGAGAGAGAGAGAGAGAGAGAGAGAGAGAGAGAGAGAGAGAGAGAGAGAGAGAGACACCCGTGTGGTTCTCGGGGCCCTGTCTCTTGGACAGGGGAGCAAAGAATAGGACCATTGTATCCGTACCGCGCATGTCGTAGAAGGCGACTAAGGTCGGTTGGGCAAAGGGTTAGCAGCCCTTTCCCGTAAAACAAAAAAGCAGCTACAAAAACATCAACAGCAAAAACAACACGACCGCCAGTTCTGGAAGATGGAGGACCTTCATCACCGAGGAGAGGAGACAATATGGAGAGTAGGAAAAAGCGGGGGCATCATGGAAACAGATAGAAAAGGATGCTCAGGACAGGCTTCGCTGGAATAATGCTGTTGATGGCCTGTGCTCCACTGGGGTTAAAAAAGGGCGAGAGGGAGAGAGAGAGAGAGAGAGAGAGAGAGAGAGAGAGAGAGAGAGT